TGTGGGCGCCGCCGTGCCGGGTGTGTGTGTGCCGCTGTGTGTGTGCCGCTGTGCCGGGTGTGTGTGTGCCGCTGTGTGTGTGCCGCTGTGCCGGGTGTGTGTGTGTCCGGCTGTGTGTGTGCCGCTGTGCCGGGTGCCGCTCTGCGGTGCAGGGGTCCCGCTGCGGCACACGGTTCTTCCGCGCTCGCCTCGGTGTGTCCCTCTGATCTGAGTACCTGCGGTTCGCCGGAGCCATCCCGCTCCCGGAGTGTGTGTGCATGTGCGCTTGCAGGGAAGGGTTTGATGGTCCCTGGAGAAATAACAGGAGTATGACCTCCAGGGTCTGTGCATAGTTCATCTTAATGCATTAATGAAAGGTGTTCATGGCAGCTTCCTGCCAAATTCAAAAGTATTTTGAAAATACTTTTTCTCTCACTTACTTCTCTGAATCCTGGAAGTCACAGGATTGCTAGTCTTTGCTTTCAGCAGGGGGTTTTCTGTCTATTCAGATGGATTAAGTACCTCATGTAGCATGCTTGTTTAAGTCTTTCCAGAAAGTAAGAATTTTATTTCAGAATACTGGAAGCTAGATGCAAACCGATTTAGGCACAATGTGGATAGATTATATCCACTTCCAAAATCCAAAGACAGATGTTTCTTATTTAATTAGGGGGAATACACATTTTAAACAATTCAGGCTGTTTATGTTTTCTGTTGTCTCTTTATAGGTCTTGAAAATAATTTAAACCTAGTGTTTGCAGGGACTTTAAAGCTGATTGCTTTATTTAGGCAAACTTTGACAGTTTCATGATTAAGCAAAAGTTATGATTCTTTAGGTTATATTTAATCTTAACATTTATAGTTTATTTAAATGCACACACAATACGATTACACTTTTTTCAGAGAGCACAGATTAAATTAGAAGAGCTTACTCACATGTAGCAAGTAAGCAGTGCAGTTCTTTAGCCCTTCCAGCTCCAGCCACCCACACATCCTATTACTATGTTAGTGCCCAGGAACTCTACTCAGGATGACTCTTCCATCATGCTGGATGTTCTTCAAAACAGAGTTGGAGATAGCTCCTGCATGTGTATGTGGCTGCTTGGGCATGCCGTACTATGTACAGCAATAAATGTGAAGGTACAGACATAGGCAGTATGCATACAATATTTTTATTGTAATATGCCCTGAGTGCACATCTTTAAAATAAAAACAGTTTTGGAAATATTCCTGTGTTTCCATCTTATGATTAGATGGGTCATGTAACAGAAGTGGAATATGTTATCTATACAAATTAATTTCAGGATTGAATAGAAAACTTACAGGCTAAAGGAAAATTCCATCAAATTTTAAAGGGACATTTTGAAAAATGAGTTAAAACCTAGTGATGCAAACCTTGAAGGACATCTGGCTTTCCTGTGGGAAACTCCAGAAAAGTTGACTAAAGAGAGAGATGTCCTTTTGCAGATACTATGTTTCAAATAAAGGCACAAACACAGGCTGATGAGTAAGTGTGTCAACAATGCTTTGGACTGTGTCACACAACTTGTTCAGCGTGGAGTCCCCCGTGGTTCATTCAGTCTTCCTGAGGTAGTTAGTTGTGTCCTCTGGGTAGATGCCTGACCTGTAGACAGCTGAAGTCAAGCCAGGGAGAGCGCGTTGTGTAGGTATAAACGCACTGTACTTGGAGGAGGGACTGCAGCATAGGCAGGTCTAGCAGTGTTATCGTTAGCTGTCTAATTCCAGTAGCAAGGGCAGTAAAGGTGTCACTTCGCACAATTCTGCAATGGCCAGCTGCTCTCGTAGACAGGGACCTCGGGAAGTACACAGCACAGCTGTACCAACACCTATTCTGTATTGCCAGCAACATAAAGGCCATCTCCAATATGCCTTAGATGACTCTTTTTGCTGATATTTCGTGTCAGATTTTTCTCTCCAAAATATGCTACTTACAGGAGCGAGTTTTCCATCTTTTCCACTGTTCCCCCGAGCAGAGCAGTCCACATGAGCTGTAGGCTAGATGATACTATTTCGAATAGTCTGTTACACGCAGTTCCTTTTGAAGCCTTTGGCCATTGCATGCCTAGTGGGATTTAGGTAGTCCTCAGTAAATATGAGGGGTATTTTCAGTTCATGGCTCTTGTACAAGAACCTTGTACTCACTATGCCTTCTCCCTCCAGCATCACTCAGAAATGCTGCTATTCCCATTTTGTATTTATATTCCTATTTTTATATTTATTCTTATAAACAGAAAAAAGTCAATCTGGGTTGTCAAAGATCGTACAGGAAGTTGGGATGATACTGGGAACTGACTTGGGATCTTTTCTTCCTCCAGTGCCTTAACCACAAGATTATCCTTTCTCCCAAAACAAAAACACCCAGAAATTGTTAGAAGACTGGAAATTCAGCTCTAGAAGCTTCAATTTTAAAGATTAATGCTTCATGTCTCATAGAAGATTTTTTTTTTAAGTCCTGGAAATCTTTGGGAATGTTTTCTGAAACAAAACAGAAAAAAACTACAGAGGCTGCTTCAGAGCTGGAAGATTTCATTTTGATGCATTTTTATACAAAGTCTCCTTCTTTAAGTACTTTTTCTTGACTCTAGACAAATAATGTAAGCTCTTCCAGTTAGATTCACTAAACACAATAAAAGAAACAAAACTGCTGAATAATTGAAAGCGTTTTTAATTAAGATCAGAAGAAAAAATTGAGTGGAACTAGAAAGAAAAGGAGAGTATAATGTAACATTCAAAAGGCAATGTGACCCAACAAATAGGAAAAGAATTTACTGAGTATTTTTCAGCCACGGGAGTTTAATGGAGGTCTTCTAAATTCTAAAGGAATTGTAAAAGAAAAGCAGATTCACATATCCTCTATCCCAAGTTAGATATGTGAAATTGCTGCACGTCACAGAAACTGTGAAATTTCCCCCATAACATAAAAATTCAAGAGATCAACAAATCCAAGTGGCTGAAAACCACTGGCCTAAATTACACATGAGCACGAGGGCTCGCATCTTCTGTTTCTGAGGGCTGGGTACACAAGTGGAGCTCAGGTATGTTGCATTCCACGCAAGTTATGTTCTGCTGTTGAGAAGGGAACATAAAATGCACTTGGATGTTATTTGGACTTTTGAGGCCACAAATAAGTGTGTAAGTGGGCACCTAATTGGTAAGACTCATATGTAGCAGTAAAGATTATTTCACTGTTTCCACCAGAACAATAGACCTAAATTCAGGAAGGGCTCCTTCTTTTGCAAATGCCTCAATGTTATTTGTATTAACACTGTTATTATCTCGGTCCTACTAAATGAAAACAGTGAGGACATTGACTAGTACACTGTGATGGCTTCAGTCAAGATCCTGGACATTTAAAAATATTGTGGTATTACAGGTGTGGAGTTGCTTTGGACTAATTTATAGTTATCTTGTGTTTTACAGATATTGAGATGGTTACTGAATGAATGAACAACGCCTTGTTGTGGGGCTGTAGAGTATAACAAAAAAAAAAGGACAGAAGCATTTAAAACTTGTTAAGAGGCAATGATGAACAAGAACACGCTCATGAGTTAAGAAAGGGAAGGAAGAAAGAAGAGTATGTTGAGTTTATAAAGTATATGTGCCTAAGACAGAGGGGGCACTTGTTCAGAAAGTTGTTTGAGAGAACCAAGTGACAGACACCTTAGTGAAAGACTTAGGCTTGCTTAGGTTAGTATTATGTTGGTAAGCACTGAGATAGGATGGTCTTTGGTTCTGTAAAAGCTATTTTGTTGAAGAGTTTTGTTTTTCTCTGTGAATAATATTTCTGTTTTTAAAATAACTGAAAATTTTAGCTTAAAGAAAATAAAGAAATTTTAGCTTATATCCTGCATGCCATAGAACCCTGAAGGGAGACTCTGCGCTAAGCCTAACTGGAGCTGACGTCCTGACAGTGGTGTACGACAGCTGCGATGTTCCCCCATGGCTCAGAGATCTGACACTGCAAGGGCTGCACCCAGAGTCACTGGCAAGGTGCAGCTAACCTTCCTGCCACTACACAGACTGTGACACTCAGAACTAAACTCTAGTCTTTGTGTCATGTAAGCTTTAAACAACAAAAGACAAATCCTTGTAGTCTGTGAAGCTCTCTTGCCCCTTTTTTCTCAGAAGCTAAGATAACATGAGGGAGTAGACATTCCATTGGTTACTGATATATATCCAACACAAACACTCAGTATGCACTCAGTTCCTAGTGAAAGATATGAAAACACCTTTAAAAAT